TTGTTGTACATGTATCTGTATTCCTGCTTTCAATTCTTTTGGGTATTTCCTAGAAGTGGAATTGCTGGATCAAATGGTAAATCTATGTTTAACTTTTTGAGGAGCTGTCATACTATTTTCACAGTGGCTGTGTCATTTTACAATCCTACCAGCCAACACCTGTTAATTTCCTTTTTTCAAAATCATGACCATTTTAGTGGGCATGAAGAATATCTCATTGTGTTTTTTATTTATGTTTCCCTAATGACTAATATGGGAGCTCTGGTAGCATAGTGGCTAAAGCGGTTCAAACCCACCAGCCACTCCTCGGAAGGAAGGTTGGGCAATCCTACTTCTGTAGTGATACTGCCTCGGAAACCCAAGGGGTCGGGTTTGACTCGACGGCACATAACAACAACAACAACAACAACAATGACTAATATGGGAGTTCGGGTGGTGCAGTGCCTAAGGTATTTGACTGCTAACCAGAAGGTTGGCAGTTCATACCTATCAGCTACTCTGCAGAAGGAAGATGGGGCAATCTACTTCTGTAAAGATTTACTGTCCCCAGTGGGGGTCTCTATAAGTCAGAATTGACTCGATGGCAGTGGGTTTCGTTTGGTTTTGGAGAGAATATTGGTTGATCCCTGCCTTGTGCTGAGTGCCTGTATGCACATAATATCCTAAAAAAAAAAAAACCCACTTCTTCAGGAAGCTGTACATTGCAAAATTCTTTACAGAGAGCTAGGCAACTATCTGTTTGACAATAGAATGGAGGTTGAGCAACATCTTTATGAAAAATTATTTGCTAAACACTAAAAATGATGGCCATCAGGATCCTTTGTGGGTCCCAAGCTCTGAGCTCAGTTACAGTGAGGGACATCTCAGTGTCAAGTTTAAGCTTTCAGAGGAACATTGCAGCTGTGTGTCAAGACGGTATGATGAGGGTGTGTGTAACTTTTTGTTTTTGTTAAAAACAGAACTCTTTCTTTGTAGCTCCATAGGATGTAGATAAGGAGCTCTGGTGGTGTAGTGGTTAAGGCATTTAGCTGCTAGCCAAATAGTTGGTGCTTTGAACCAGAAGCTCCCCAGAAGAAAAATGAGGCAGTCTGCTTCCGTAAAGATTTACAGTCTCGGAAACCCAATGGGGGTCACTATGAGTCAGAATCGACTCGATGGGAGTGAGTTGGTTTTGGTTTTGGAAGATGAAGTATAAATTGGGGCAACCTCTTTGTAGAACAATGTGACAATAGTTAACAATTTACAAAGCTTACAAAAATCTGACATGATTCCCCTTCTAGGAATTTATCCTACAGTCATTTTAACATACAGATGATGTGTGTACATGAGTAGTCACTATGATATCACAGTAGCAAAGAACCTGAAGGACTCTAATTGTCTTATCATTTGGCGACTAGTGAAATAAAAGCAGCATGTCTGCACGGGATTCTGGTTCTATCCTCGGCTGAGTTCTCAGGATCGCTCTGAAGACAAGGATGTGCGGAAGTCACTTATTGGGAAGCAATCCCAGGGAGCACCAGTAGAGAAGGGGGGAGGGAGACAAGGAAGGTAAGAAACCAAGGAGAGTGTGCTATGGAGCTGGTTGCCCCTGGAGCACCAAGAGCTCAGTCCTAGTGGGAAGTTTGGGAATATGGTGCGACCACACCTTAATGTATCACACCTGACGGATAAAGTATTTAACCACCAACTTCATCAGACATGAGTTGAGAGCTTCTCCCAGGGGCTGTTAGTCTCCAGCACGCCCCACTTGCCTGTGCTGAAGCCAGGCAGGCTCTGAGGTCAGAGGGAGTTCTCAGGAGATGGCAGATGCCTGCAGGGGGAGCCCATCAGTGTGTCCCCCCAAGAAAGGGTTAATGTCAGAGAGAAATGGCTTAGGGTTAGAATTGTCCTTTCCAGCCTCACTTGTAGTTGGGCAGAGCAGCAAGTCTATGTTCTGGTTCATGGAATGTGAATGGAAATGGAATATATAAGTAACAGTTGGTCCTTAAAGGGAGGATGGTAGGTCTGGTGGTGTAGTGCCTGAGGTATTTCACCTTTAACTAGAAGGCTAGTGGTTCAAACCCACTAGCCACTCCTTGGAAGAAAGACTGGGCAATCTACTTCTGTAGAGATACCACCTCAGAAACTCAAGAAGGGGTCATCGCTATGAGTCAGAGCTGACTCGGTGGCAGGGTGGCAGTGAGGCTTTTTTTTTTGCATGTATGTGTGTGTGTGTGGTGGGGGGATGTGTCCTTATTTTCCCCTTTCAACATTCTGATGCTCTGAAAGTGGATGTGCAGCTCTTTCCTTGACACGAGGAAGAGGGCACTACCTAGGAACAGGAAGCAACAAGAGAGGATGATCCTGGGACCTCAGTGGTCCTATGGAGCAGTCACCTACAATCCTGAACTAACTTCCCCCCAACAAAAGAAACCATTGTGTTTAAACCACTGCTGTTGAGACCTGTCACAGTCAGCTGCACCTTCATCCTAATGATGCCCTATTCTCTGGGAACGTGCTGATGACACAATTTGGGTCGAGAGGGGCAGCTTTGAGCCTCCCCATCACCTCAAGACCAACTGGCAATTACTGAAGCTGGCAGATGCAATCAGCTGAAGTTCTGAAGCTGATGAATGTACAACACAGTGCTGCTTACAGGGAAACCAGGATTTATTTCAGCCATGTTTTAAGCCCTGGAATGTGCCCCTCAGGAAACTGCCTGGATGACAAAGCTACAAAATAGATTACAAACAAAACATAACTACAAAAAACTGAGAAACATTTACTGAAAATGCAAGCTGGGAAAAAAGAATTAAATTCAATCCTCCAATGTGCCCTCTGTCTGGGAAAGGGTGCTGACAGCACAGTCTGTTCTGGGAACCCAAAAGACTGGAACAGAAATAGCAATTGAAATATTACATTCAGTGCCTGCTATAATTTCCTCAAGAGACTAGTGTTTGGTTTTGACAGAAACTCCATTTCTACCTCTTCCACTGGAGAGCTTTATACAAATATTTATGTTGGCCTGAAGGGTGTGTTAAGTTCAGAGCCTGCCTGGGGCACCCTCTTTTCTTATTCAGCTCTGGGTGTCCAACCTGACCTTTCTGAAGCTGTCTGATGACCAGGGATGGGTGGAACGCCCTGTGACATGTGAGGACAGAAAGATCTGGTGCTAGCCCCCAAGGAAATCGGGGCAGAGGGCTCTTAGAGCAGGCAGCATTCTCTGAGGAGGAGCAGCAGAGCCTCTGAAACAGAATCAGCACCCAGAGCTGACTACATGTGGTGGGCACACAGCTGGGGGCTCACATCTGAGTACCTGTGGGTCATGTGCACATGACCTTGACTTGGGGGAAAAGTGGGGTCTCTGCTTCCTATTGGGGACCATGTGCTATGTGTGTCAGACAAATGTGTGGATGTAGCAGGAGCTTAGAAATGACAGGAGGCAGTGTATCTGAGTGAGAGAGCACATGGACTTGTGATGCACCTGGGTGTGATGCCGGGATGTGTGTGGGCAATTGCTGCCAACAGGTAACGTTGGGGAGTGTAGGAGCAAATGAGCTTGGGACAGAAAGGTGGCACTGAGGGGAGCAGTGGTGAGTCCAGAACAAGTCTCTCAGTTGTCTGAGTGATTATCCAACAACGGAGCTTGCAGGGCCAGGTGACGGTGTGCATGAGCACCTGAGGGAGCATATGAGACCAGGGTGCTCAGGACAAAGATGGAGCCCTTGGGGGGCACTTGGCTGTGTGAGTAGGCCCTCAGCCCCAACCTTTTCAAAACTATCTCAGGGCTGGGACTCAAGGATTCCAAGGGTTCCAAGTTTTCTGTGTCACAAGGCCTCAGGGGAAATTGAGGCTCAGAGATTCAAGATGGCACAGCCCCATTCTTGGGGTCCCTGGCACAATAAAGCAGAGAAATTCACAAAGTCAGGAAGTAACAATGCATTTATTTCATAAACAGGACTTCCCCTGCTCATGCAGGTCCCATAGGACCTGCCATCATACTGCACTCTGGGCTTCACTGGCACACACTGACAAGCTAGCACCTGGCCCAAACCCAGGGTAGGGTCAGGACTTGGGCTGAGGCAGCCACCTGGGATAAGCAGGCTTCTCTGTGAAGTGCTGCTGGATCCTGAGCCAGCCCAGCCTAAGGGGACAGTTGTATTCTGAGTCCAGTCAAGGGAGGACTTCTCACCTTGGTCTATGCTGTCCCTGCCAGGGTTGGCGGAGGTACACACAGGCACAGTGATAGACCACAGGCTGCTCCCAATCAGACCTCAGCATGGTGCTCTGCTGTGCCAAGGGCCGATCAGAACTGACCAATTAAAAAAAAAAAAAGGCGGGGAACAGGTCTATGAGACTATGGCCCCTAGCTGTCCTTCAGGTCTGGAATTGAACACACACCTGTCTGTGGCTTCCAGCCAAGCAGTAGACAGGCGTACTAGTTGAGCATTTATCTGAGGTAGATACACTCCTTGGAGAGAACAAGTTAAGAGAGAAAGAAGGGCTGCTCAGGCACAGGGAGACAGCTCATGGGGTAGGAGTGCATGGAGGGATGGTCATAGGGAAGCGGTACCTATCCAGAGGAAGTGGGAGAGGAGATGTTGCATTGTGCTAAATTGTGATCAATGTCATGAGACAAAGTATATGTGATCTGCTGTACGGAAAGTGTATTTGCTCTGTAAATTTTCACCCAAATCACAATAAAAATAAAAATTAAATAAAAGAAAAAAAAGAACTGACCAATATAAGGCCTCCCTCACAACCTAAAAACCCAGGACTTCTGAAGAAGTGCACACCAACTGGAATAGGCAGACAATGCAGGTACTAACGACAGGCACACAGACATAAGGCCACTTGAGGGAAACTACACCTAAACCCAAACCAAGCGTGAGGTAGGCCCAAGTGGGACTAATGATGTAGTTCTCAAAGTGGGGTCCCCAGACCAGAAGCCTCAACATCACAGAGGATGGTAAAAAATGCACATTCCCCACCCAGTCCAGCCAACCTCCAAGCCTAGTCAGCTATTTCAGTCGCAGGTAGGCAGGAGTGGAATAGTTGAAGAGCAGGAAGTCCATCTTGTAGAGGTCGAAGAGACGCCGCTGGTAGAAGGGGCTGATGTCCTGGAAGAGGCGGGCTGCCTGGTCGCGCGCTGGGGCAGCCTGGGCCCTTGTGGGCGGCACAGGGAAGCGCAGGCCTGGTACGCCCACTAGGCCCAGCACGAAAGATGCATCCTCCGCCAGCGTCTCGAACTTGCCCACTACGTCGTAGCGCAGGTGGCAGGGGTGGCAGAGCGCGTGGGCGCGCTCCCAGTGCTCATTGAAGGGCTCCTCGCGCCGCGTGCGCGGGTCTAGCAAATAAGCCAGAAACTCCGCAAAGCGCACGTCGTGACCGCGAGCCAGCGCATCAGAGCGCGCGTGGGGCCGCAGGCGGCGCACGATGCGTGTACCGAAGCGCCTCTGGAAGGCGGCGTGGTAGGGCCGCGCGAACTTGTTACGGTAGGCGGACGCCAGCCGCTCGAAGGGCTCGCGCACAAAGAGGAAGGTCAGGTAGGTACGCAGTCGCCGGTTCACCTCCGCCGGGCTGAAGTCGGCCAGCGAGGGCAGGAGGCCGGGTGCATGCGCCTCGTGCGCGGGGATGGCGTGAGGGTCTCCGCGGGCGCGACCACTCAGTGCCAGCAATATTCTCTTCCAGTTGGTGCATGCCACCTTGGGTACGTAGCAGTAGAGCAGGCCGTGGGTGTCGTCCACCAGCACGTGCCGCAGGTCTTCTGGCTGCAGCAGGCGCTGCCGCCGCGTGTGCCGCTTGCAGGCGCTGCGCAGCAGATCGCGTCGCTGCCGGTGTAGCTCCGCCAGGGGGGAGCTAGGGACCTGAGGGCAGCAAGAGGAGGGTCAGGGTTATGCACCCCATGATGCATAGCATTCATGAAAAGAATACACAGTGTTCATTCAAAAGTTTCTTAAGGTTTCTCCCAATGAGTTTAAAACAAAACAAAACAAAAAACCCCAAACTCACTGCCATCCAGTCAATTCCAACTGACAGCAACCCCCTTTGGGTTTGCCAGGCGGTAAATCTTTATGAAAATAGATTGCCCAGTCTTCCTCCCACAAAGTGGCTGGTAGGTTTGAACCACCAGCCTTCTAGTTAACAGTCAAATGCCTTAGGCACTGCACCACCAGAGCTCCTTCCAATGAGTTAAGGGGAGTAGAAAAGTAACACTTAAGAAAAACCAGATGGCCAAGGAGGTTTGTAGACACCAGACGAAGGTCATCTACCATTGTTGACTAGTTGCTGACCTAGCAGCAGCCTAATCTGGGTAAAAGGGGATATTAGCATAGTATATTGCACCACCTAGGTGGAAATTTAAATTTAATTATAATGAGACATGCTAAGGGTCACCATCTTTGTAAACCTTCACTGTGTATGCTTAACCTGTAATATAAAATTGTGTGTATAACATTGGTACCTCATGTACAAAATAACCTCAGAAAGAGCACTTGGACCCAGAGAGTCAAAACCAAAAGACACCAAGAATATACTCTGAGTTATTCCAGGGAGGTCAGCCTTGAGAAAAACAGAATGCACCTGGTGTTGATGCCTTCCAGAGCTAAGCCATAAGGCTCATCGTCATAACTTAAGGGTTTCTCTTTGTCCTTTTCATGGATGTAGGAGCCCTGGTCCTTGGGGATGGACTGTGTAGATGTAATCATAAGCTTTAGCTCAATCTATTTTAACTCAACTTATATTAACTCAGTATCATTAGTCAAAACAAAGCCAGGAGCTGACTGTGGAACAGACCATCAATTGCTCATATGCAAGTTCAAGTTGAAGCCAAAGAAAATTAAAATAAGAACCAAAATGTGATTTTGATTATATCCTACCTGAATTTAAAGACCATCTGAAGAACAGCTTTGACACATTGAACACTAATGACCTAAAACTGGATGAGTTATGGGATGATGTCAGGAACATCATATACTAAGAAAACAAATGGTCATTAAAAAGACAGGAAAGGAAGAAAAGATCAAAATGGATGTCAGAAGAAACTGAAACTTGATCTTGAATGAAGAGTAGGTAAAGCGAATGGAAGAAATGCTGAAATAAAAGAGCTGAACAGAAGATTTCTAAGGACGAGAAGACAAAGTAAAGATTATAATGAAATGTGGAAAGACCTTGAGTTAGAAAAACAAAAGAGAAGGCAGAGTTAGCATTTCTCAAGCTAAAAGAACTGAATTAAAAATTCAAGCCTCGAGTTGCAATGTTGAAAGATTCAGTCCTTACAACAACAACAATAACATTGATTCTGTACTTGCACCCTGGAAGTAGGTAGACTTTTGGAGTATTCTGAAACTCTGTCCTTTCCCCCACTTTGGAGAAAGTGTTAAACTCTTTCTTCTCTCTTTTCATGGTGTGACTGGATTGGCTTTTCATTGCTCTGGGCATGGGGCCCCATTTTCTGGTAACAACATGATTATAATATAATCCTCACTCCATTAAAAAAAAAAATCTTGTTGTTGTTGTTAGGTGCTGCCAAGCTGGCTCTGACTCATAGCAACCCTATGTACAACAGAATGAGATACTGCCTGGTCCTATGCCAACCTCACAATCCTTGCCATGCTTGAGCCCATCATTGCAGCCACTGTGTCAGTCCATCTTGGTGAGGGTCCTCCTCTTCTTTGTGGACTCTCTACTAAACATGATATCCTTCTCCAGGGAATGGACCCTTCTGATAACATGACCAATTAGGTGAGATGAAGTCTAGCCATTCTTGCTTCCAAGGAGCATTCTGGCTGCACTTCCTCCAGGACAGATTTGTTCATTCTTTTGCAGTCCATGATACTTTCAGTATTCATTGCCAACACCACAACTCAAAAGCATCAGTCTTCTTCAGTCTTCCTTATTCATTGTCCAGCTGTCACATGCACACAAGGCAAATGGAAATACATGGCTTGGGTCAGGAGCACCTTATTCTTTAAAGTTGCATCTGTGCTTCTTAACACTTTCAAGAGCTCTTTTGCAGCAGGTTTTCCTATTGCAGTACAGTGTCTCATTTCCTGCTGCTTCCATGGGTGTTGAATGTGGATCCAAGTAAAATGAAATCCCTGCCAACTTCAATCTTTTCTGTTTATCTTTATGTTGCTTATTGGTCCAGTTGTGAGAATTTTAGTTTTCTTTGTGTTGAGGTGTAATCTATACTGAAGACTGTAGTCTTTGATTTCATCAGTTAGTGCTTTAAGTCACCTTCACTTTCAGCAAGCAAGGCTGTGTCATCTGCATGTTGTAGGTTGTTAATAAGTCTTCCTCCAATCCTGATGCCACATTCTTCTTCAAATAGTCCAGCTTCTCAGATTATTTGCTCAACATACAGATTGAATAAATACTGTGAAAGATAGAACCCTGACACACTCCCTTCCTGATTTTAAACCATGCAGTATCCCCTTGTTCTGTTCGAATGACAGCCTCCTGGTCTATGTACAGGTTCCTCGTGAGCACAATTAAGTGTTCTGGAATTCTCATTCTTCTCAATGTTATCCATAATTTGTCATGATCCACACAGTCAAATGCCTTTGCATAGTCACCAAAGACAGGGAGACATCTTTTTGGTATTCTTTGCTTTCAGCTAAGTTCCGTCTGACATCAGCAATAATATTCCTCATTCCACGCCCTTTTCTGAATCCAGCTTGCATTTCTGGAAGTTCCCTGACAATATATCACTGCAATCACTTTTCAATTATCTTCAGCAAAATTTTACTTACTTGTGATACTAATGATATTGTTCAATAATTTCCACATTCTGTTGGATCATCTTTCTTTGGGATATCAATCTCTTCCAGTCATTTGTCCCGGTAGCTGTCTTCCAAATTTCTTGGTATAAATGAGTGAACACTTGCAGCGCTGCATCCATTTGTTGAAACATCTCAATGGGTATTCCGTCAATTCCTGGAGCTTTGTTTTTCACCAATTCCTTCAGTGCAGTTTGGACTTCTTCCTTCCATACCATTGCTTCTGGACCATGTGCTACCTCCTGAAATAGAAATAGTGTTGACCAATTCTTTTTGGTACAGTGACTCTCTCCATCATCTTTTGATGCTTCCCGTGGCATTCAATATTTTGCCCATAGCATCCTTCAGTATTGCAACTTGAGGCTTGAATTTTTTTTTTTTTTTTCCAGTTCTTTCAGCTTGAGAAATGTTGAGTATGTTCTTCCCTTTGGGTTTTCTAACTCAAGGTCCTTGCACATTTCATTATAATACTTTGTCTTCTGGAGCTGCCCTTTGAAATCTGCTGTTCATTTCTGTAAAAGAGAGAGCACTTATAGGCAGACAATGTGAGGGACCTCCCTCTGTGCCTCAGCTTGTGCACAAACTTAATAAAAGCTGTGCTCCTTACTCCTCACAGTAGTGTGTCTTTACTGGTTTACATCACTTCGGGCAATGGATCCATCAATTTGTAGGTAACACCCACACCCTAAAGGGCCTGTCCTAGTACTGCCCCAGGGGACTCAGAGGTGAAACTGGGCACTGTCACCAATCACTATGTGCTTTGGGTCCCAGGCATAGAGGCTGGACAGTGGTTTGGGGAAAATGGAACTTGATCTGACCTCACTAAGGCATGTTGAAGGATGCATCTGGTCATACGTGCTAGATCCATTGTCTGCTATTAGGTCCTGATCCAGAAGTAAGGGCAAGCCTTACTTGCTGACTGGTTATTAAATGAAAGATGATGTGTAAAAAGTGTAGCTTTAATTCCATGTGACCAAACCAAACTCACTGCCATCGAGTCAGGTCTGACTCATAGCAACCCCTCCTTGGGTTTCCGAGGCAATATCACTACAGAAGTAGATTGCCCAACCTTCCTTCAGAGGAGTGGCTAGTGGATTTGAACCGCCAGCCTTCTGGTTAGCAGTCAAATGCCTTAGGCAGTATGCCACCAGAGCTCCCGATTCCATATGAGCCAAAAGATGAAACCTCTTGCTGTGGCATGGATTTCAACTCATAGCAACCCTATAGGAAATAGTAGAACTGCCTCATAGGGTTTTCAAGGCTGTAATCTTTATGATCCCTTCTTCTCATGGAATGGCTGGTGGGTTTGAACCACTGACCTTTCAGTTAGCTTCCCAGAGTTTTAACCACCATCAAGTCTTTTCCATATGAATAGAGCTCAGAAATCCACCACAACTTTGCAGCCACTTGGAGGCTATCTGGATTGTTGTGCTCAATAATAACATTAGCTAATGCTATATTTATAAATTGGTATGTTCCTTTGGGTCTCAGTTTCTCACTGCACCCCCAACAGATTCTAATTTTAGAGTACAGGCAGGAAGCTTACCTACTCTGGGCCAGTCTCTCCTCTGTGAAACAGTAACAACTCTATGTGTGCCAGGCACCTTTCTGAGGACTTTACTGAATTAGAGACTCTAAGAAGGAACTCTGGTAGCATAGTGCCTAAGGTACTTGACTGCTAACCAGAAGGCTGGTGGTTCAAACCCACCAGCCAGTCTTTGAAGGAAGATTGGGCAATCTGCTTCTGTAGTGATACCGCCTTGGAAACCCAAGGAGGGGTCGCTATGAGTTGGGTCTGACTCAATAGCACATAACAATAACAAGAAGGAGACTTAGCCAGTTTCAGCCATGCACATACCCAGGCCATAGCATCCACGCTTCTCCCACAGGGTCCTCACCTCCAAGACTAATCATCTACTTCCCCTGTAGTCCTCCTCTTCCCTCCATGTTTTTTGTCTAAGAGTTCTTAGAGAAAGTGTTTTAATTTCTCAAAATCTCATTAACAGTCTTCAATATATAATAAAGAAAGACAATCACAAGTGTTGGCAGAGATGTGGAAAAACTGGCACCCTCATATACTGCTGGTG